GAACATCTTTAGCTTTCTGTCCTCTTTGTAAACACAATGGGAATGGGACAGACTAAATTTTCTGTGTTGTACTGTTTTCCTGCAGGCAATAGTTTACTGCTATTCGTTTGGGTTTTTATAACCTCACAAGCCATAACAGTAATATTTGGTGAATTAATTAAATGAACATTAACTTCCCTGCCCCAAAGCAAACTAATCTTACTTTAGAAAAGTAGCATGAAAGGGCTTTTGAAGGGTCAGATAATTTGAAAGAACGCACAATTAATAAGATTCCTGAATTCCCAAGCTGGAACAACAAAAAAAACCTCCCATGGACTCCTGGGGAACATATGGGTGGTGCTAATAACCTGGCTGGGAAGTTAAATACAAAACCAGTCATTTGAAGACCTACTGTGAACTTATAGCTTTGGATGGTACATACAACCCTACAAATTCCCAGGCAGATAGTTTTGACATGGCATGAGCACTATTTAAATAAAAACATATCAAAGAATATAGGTAAGGTTTGTCTTATGTGTATCTGTACAATGCACTATAAAACACCTTTTCACTTCTCTAAACGTGTAAAATTAAATTTTGTCATTTGCGTGTAAGTTGACATTTGTATTCAACCCAAAATGAGTTCTTTTGGCTTGGGCTGACACCTGCTGAGTCACAGCCCTGTCACTGTATGTGATTCAGCAACTGTTTCAGTCCCTGTGATTCTCCTCTGGAGTCTTGGAGCCTCTGTGTGTGTGAGACTCCAGGTCTTCCCTGTGGGATGATTGGGTGGTATTCCTCAGGGCCCATGGCTAGTCTGGGTAGGAGCCCTGGTGGTGGGTATCCCTCAGTGCATTCCCAGGCAGTTGTCACAGGACATGCTTAACATGGATACTTTCCAAGAGAAGGAATCACTGTCCTTTCAACTTCACTGGTCAGGAATTTCTCATCATTTGGAACCTCTAGACTTGTAAACAAATAGCATAGGGAATATTTATTTTAGAACTATTTAGTTACTATTTTTTTCTTGGTCCATGCATGTTCTCCTAATCTAAGCAACAGGGTACTTCTGTTTCTGTTTCTGTTTTCTCCCTTTTTTAACAACAACAAAAAGTTGATGGTGGATCTAATGGGGTGACTAGGTCATGCAGCAGTTGCGTATCATTCTTTCCCACAAGGAGGCATGTGATGGGGGTATCCCCGAGAAGGTAAACGTGGACAGAGGACAGAGGCCACCCTTAGGGTCTCCACACTCCAAGGTCCAAATATTGCCATCAGCACGCATTCCATTATTTCACAGCATCTTTTCCTTGGGAGTGGCCAGCAATGGGGAGCCTACGGCTCACAGACATTACCCTTAAACGTGTTGGCTATGGAATGCACTCCTGGTCAGATACTGTGAACCCTAAGATAATTTTGCAAAACTCCATGGTGGTTCCCAATAGCTGCTTTCTAATGTCAACTGATTTTCCAACATTTATTAGATGATTTCTGCATTTGTAAAACGGGGGTAATAAATCTATCATAGGGTTGTTGTGAGAATTAATAGGGATACACAAACACACACACAATCATACCTTGGTACTCAAGTGCTTTGAAACTCATTGGGTTTGGTATTTGATACACTCTGATGTGAATTTTGTGCTGGTACTGGTTTCATACTCAGTGTGCAGGCTGCAGCTTGTTAGAATTGATACCCTTTCCAGCCAACACAACTTGTTTGGTACTTGTCATTTTTGGGACTCGTCACACCTTCCAGAACCAATTAATGGTGAGTACTGGGCTCCCAATGGTATCCAGGAATGCTAGCCTTTATTATGACTGCAGCAAAAAGTCATTCTTTTATTCACTCTAAGTATTGGATTGACTGGCATGCTTTGCAGTGGACTTGTGGAAAGGTTTTATGAGTATTTTACGAGTTTTATGGGCTTATCTATAAAGATACAGTAAAATTTCCCCTATCAAGTTCAGTAGAAGTACAGGCAGTGTCATGGCTTGTCTAGATATCCCCTCAAAGCCTCATGTGGTCATAGGTGGGACTTTTCAGAGGTGGCTCCATCTAGAATGTGTGTGCTGGGATTGATTCCTGATGCAATGCTAGGCTCAAGGGCACTAGGATTAAGAGTGTGAGTGCTGCCCGCCTTCAGCAGTCTGGATAAAATAAAAGGGGCAGAAAGATGCTGTTGGGCTCTCTTCCCTCATTGCTTTTGCTGTCTTTGCCTGCCACTCTGCCTTGGAGCCTGACGACTATGGACTGAAACCTCTGTGAACTATAAGCCAAATAAACCTTTCCCCCTTAACTTGTGGTTGTCAGCTATTTTGTCTCAGCAACAAGAGAAAAATATCCAAGACCAGCAGTGTAATGATTAGCCTTGTCAACTGACTGGATTGATCTGCCTAGTTAGGAGAGCACACTTCTGGGTGTGTCTGTGGGGTATTCCCAGAGATGAGTGGCATGTAGGACACCAAACTGTGGGGGAAAGACCTGCCCTGATTGTGAGTGGCACCAACCAGTAGGTCTGCAGACTGGAGAGAAGCAAAAAAGGAAGAGGGAGGAAGTTGGCCTGGGCTTTATGCTTGATTCTGCTTGTGTGGATGTGTCTTTAGCTGCTCCCGTTGCCTGTGGACATCCGACTCCGACTTCTTCAGCCTTCCAACACAGACTCACTCCAGCTACTCTCCAGGGAGCTTCCAGGCCTGCAGCCTTGGACCGGTGCTGCATTGTTGATCTCTCTTGTTCCATGGCTTCCAGCTTCTTAGACTAAGCAGCTACTCTCCCCAAAGTGCAGATGGCCATTCTGGATTATTCTGCCTCTGACCCAGTAAGCCTATCTAAGAAATTCATATATCTACCCCCCATCAGTGCACCTGTGCTTCTAGAGAACCCCAACCAACACTGACAGGACCTTCTCAGAGCTCCTGTCATTGTTAGGATTTTAATTTGGTATCCACAGTAGGCGAGGCACCTGGTCAGAGTGGTTAGGGCAGTTACCTCCTTGCCAGTTCATCATGCACTCAACAAAACTTTAAAGATAATACAAGCTAAATTCAATAATAAGATATTATCTATAAGTTTTGCTAACAAGTCAATCATAAACTGTTTAGGTCATCTTATTCTTGTTTTGTACTATTAAATGGTTATTTACTGCTAACTAAGATTGCATCTGAAAAGATAGGTTATTTGGGGCTTACCTCTAAAATTACTTCTTGGACCATGCCACTTAACATGGTAATGAAGCTACCAGATGAACTAGCTTTCCAATAAAACATAACTTCTCTAAAGGAAATGAAACAACCCTTCACTTTGGACGTCTAAAGTCTATTAGGCAAAATGTACTTTAGGTCATATATACTGAACAAAACTCTTTCCGCTTACCATCATCAAAATAAAGACAGTTATTCCAAGCCTTAAAAGAAACCAAAAGAGACAGATGCACTACACACCTTGAAAACCACTGGATTAGATCAAAACCACTCTGAAGAAATTCTAAACTCCAGCCTTATATTCAAGTTTATTGGACCTCATCACACTGCTACACAGGATAGGCAGATTTTTAGGACTGTGGTACTAAAAGCATCTCAAATATCTTTGGAAATTTGAAAAAAAAAGAGGTCATGGATATGAAAATGAGATATCAATGAATCTGATAGCCAATCAAACTTAATTATACCTCTACTTAGGAAAGTAAGGATTTTAAATTATTTTTAAATTTGTCAATGTATGGTTTATGAAAATAATATATGGTTTATAAAAAAACCATTTCCTAACCATAAAGACTTTCTCTTCAACTTGTGAATATTTAATAAAAGCCATGTTCAGGTTTGTAACATATAGTAAAAGATGTACTTCAATTAAAAAAAAAACTGTACATGGTAAGGGGTTTTTACAATGCTAAAATAATTGAAAATTTGGAGTAATTCTGCACATTTTAGTAACTATAATTGCTTTTCATACCTGACTGCTTTTAATTCCTAATTCTGTAAAATCCAATAAAAATTCATACATGGACATAGTTCCAAAATCTAGTCTCTGAAAAAAGTATAATTATAATATGCAATTGCTTTATATATAAAAATAATTATTTATAATAAATAAGTGCTTAAATAAATAATACTTTGTTAAATTATCCTCCTCTTTCCTAAATTAGGCTTCCAGATTAATAGAACTGGTTCAGTATCATAATCTTTATTTTTTGAGATTAATAGACTCTTTAAAGGAAAAGACCACTTTTTCAATTGCCCCATACTATGTTTTTAAGCCTGGTTCCTAAGACACTAGAGAGAATCTACATGGTGAATGAAATACCATTCAAAAGAAAATTATCAACTGAAAAATGCATAAATCTGTAATACACTTTTATAACTGTTTTCCATTGTAATAAGTTTAAAAAATATTCTAATCTAGGAATAAGTGAGGAAGGAATATACCAAAACCTAAGCACCCAAATCCTGGCAAGAATCTGCTGTTGCAGCATCTTTCAGAGTTTTGTTACAACAGAAAATTAACGCTTAAAGCAATTATCCATAGTCATTGGATTTTCTCTATTTTGTTTAAAGACAAAGTCATTCCTGCAGCAGACTAAAACCTGCAACTCAGGAAGACATCACTGTAGAAAAGATTTCAGTTCATTGCAGCTATCTACAACTCCAATGCCAGTATCAGCAGGCCCTAAGTAAATGCACTTTAGTGAGCCTAACCATTTGGCACACAGTTCACAGATGTGAAATCAGCTCAATATACAAACTCACATTTAACAGCAGATCATTCTTCATGGTGTCTTTAAAGCTTCTTAACAAACCGAGAACAATGAGACACAATTTTACACAAAAGAGCTGTACAAATCTATCCTTTATGATAGGCACAGGTACACCTATACTATCAAAATCTAAACATTAGTAAATTAGGATGTTTTTAAAAGAAACTTTTTATCAAAATGCTCAAATATTGGGTTTTTATAATATCCTCACAAAGTTCTATGCACCAAATAATTGGAGCTGGTTAAAAAGGATGACGAAATAAATACAGTGTTTAATATAGTTTTATTTAATTTGTTAAATGTAGAATGTAATGGTTTCAGGGCAAATTCTGAATTACTTTAGTCACAATCCAACAGTTGACATGATTCTGAAGAACAGCCTTATCTTCAATATCTATCCACCTACACACAAACACATCTATAGAAATCCACATACATATATATTAGTTTTCAGCAACTCTAGAATTTAATTTTATATTCTGATAACTTCAAAATTATCCATTTGATGCACAATATAACCAAAGGTGATAGAAATTCATGCAATGATATTCAGGGTTCTTTTTCAAGGAAATCCATTATTTGATAATTCAATGCTATATAAAGCACACTGAACATCTCAAATAAAACAAGTACCAGTTTTATCATGAATTAGTAATATATTTATTGTCTTGAAACCAAACAGGCCCAAGTTACTTGTCTTTTTGAGTCAGTTCTTTGTAAGCTCATTTCTCTCAAATTTTCTGTCTATTATAAACCAAGACATTTCATTTCTTCTTTGCAATTAATAAGAGATGGCAGAAGGCTCAATGTAAGAAGGTTCGTGATAATTCAGAGTCAGAAAGCACTTCTTCTTGAGCAGAAGGTTCATAATCTCCTGCGTTTTCAGCCAATTCAATGTCTAACTCATCATTACTTTCTGCACTGTAATCAACTTCTTCAAGGAATCGAGGTTCATCTTCGTCCATAACGTAAGTGGTAGGGCTGTAGCCAAAACATACAGAACACACAAGCCTTTGTGAGATTTCAAGGGTCTAATTTAAGATCATCTTATCATATGGCATTAGTTCTAATTCCAATGTAAATAATTTACACTAACTTCATAAGTATTACCCAAATGGATAAAGTAAGCATTCATAACAGCTGAATGCTTCTTGTAAAGACAACAGGGAGTGAGATGCTATGTCTTCAGTTACATCACAGAGTGGCAATGCGCACTGGCTGGACAGAGAAGAGATAACAGCAGACTCGTTGAGACACTTCTCCGAAGGATCTCATCAATTTGCAGGCTATTAGGAATTTCAGAGTTCTATTTTAGTCACTGAAGATCAGGCAACAGATCATTTTAAGAGGGCTTACAAAATCTGTGGTTATCGCATAGGTTCCTTGAGTAACACACTGAAACCTTAAGTCTATAAAGTGATTAGCAGCCATAACACAGCTTATACGCCCATCCCCACAATGTCCACTGGTCTAGAATAAAAATGAAAAGCAAGTGAACCCTCTATACCCAGGTTAATTACTTTCCCTTGGGGTACAGGATACAATATTTGCTTAAAAGCACTAGGTGCTTCTAAATATTTCATTACGTTAGGTTGTCTGGGATTAAGACAACCTTTCCACTAGGTTCTGTAATATTCTTTTTTTGAAAAATCACATTATTTTGATTTCTCCCCATTTGACAGATTTACACACACACACACACACACACACACACACACACACACACCATGCCAAAGAAACACAAAAGAAACAGTTGAAAGTCCCTAAGGTAGTGACCAGACCTACCTTAATTTCATACAAGTGTGTGTCTGGTTCTATTCTACCTATTTCCAAAAAGATTCCCAATAGCTGAAGCAATTAAAAGCTATAAAATCAGACAATGAAAAGCAACAATAATCTATTCAAATGAGCAGAAAGTAGACGGCATTAGGGACCTAAAAATGTGAGAATTCCTGCAAGTGACTATTAAATTCAATTTGGATATGTAGACGTTAAGGTAGGAAGTGGAAGTGAAGGGATTATATGGTTCTAATTTTCTGACAGCAGAAAGCAAAACTCAGATGGAAAAGTATTTTTTTCCTTCTAATGAGCTTTTAATCTTGCTAATTTTTTAAAAAAGAGAAAAATGAATTGGAAAGCCACCTTGGCATACTACGTAGCAAAATTCTTCTTGAAAGTTAAGAGCTCAAAAAAATACAGTAGTCCTAATAGATTAAACTGAACAGCTTGGAGGACTGTGTGAGACTTCACAACATATTTAACACAAAAACAATTTCAGTTTTTGGTTACGCAACTAAAACATTTAATGAGTCCCTTAGGCCTTTATGGGGAGGATTACAAGCAAAGATTATGTGCCTTTGAAAATAACTTTTACTAGCTTTCTTCTTCTTGAAAAATAATTCATTCATTCTTCCTCCTTGACTTTTCAGAGAATACGTGAAAAACTAACCGAAATAAAAGAACAGGAGAGAAGAGGGAAAAGCCAAATCTTTGGCCACACACTTGTTTACCTTCTTGCTGGAGAAGAAATGATAATGAAAATGCACGGAGGAGACATATGTGCTCAAAAGCTGTGTACTGGAACTGGTGCTGGGAAACCAACCAGAACCATGGAGATGCCCGGCCACAGCAGGAAGAGGACAGATCCACATGGTGTGTGGGTGGGTGAGCGACAGCCATGAGATCTAAGGACAGCATGGCCACAGTGCTGCTCCCCCAGCTGGGCACAGATCGGTGTACATAAAGTCCATTCAGGTCAGAGCAGGGTCTAATTCTGTACGGGAGACAACATACTAGGAAGTTAATCAATTGAACTCAAGGAACAAGTTTAAAGAGAAAGCTGTGAGTCAGTGAGGAAACAGAACAAAAGAAATACGGTTTAGAAGCAAAGAAAATGCCCAGGATGAAGCCCTAAAAGCTCTGTGAGAGCAAGAAAACTTGGAGCAATCTTGGTGTCAGATGCAGATGTATACTTTTAAGACAGAAGAGCACAACCTCCGGCAAGCTCCTATGAGATTAAGAAGCAATATAACAAGGAAGGTTCAGGGCTCTGGCTGCGGAAAGTGAAATGACCCTGCTGGTTCTTGATTTTGCCTCATGCATCATCCTGTGACGTGAACTCCACTTGTGGCCTCATATATTCCAATAAGAACAAGGAATAAGAGTATAGAACCCATTCCATCCTCCCATTCTAGTCTGATAACACACACTGGCCCTGATACTGATTCCTGTCTCTCCGGGTCCTAAAAAAATCATGCTCCTAGCCTCAGCTTCACCAGGTGCATTACACAGAGCACCTCCAGAAACTGAGGGGCACCCAGTCCTCACTCAGCAACATGAGTGGGGATAAGCACGCATGACAGACAAGGACACTGTGGGGGTAAGTGGGGAAAGACAGACAAAGACAGCGAGGAGAGTCAGGGAAGACAGAGGAAGTCAGGTTAAGGAGCTGGGAGACACCAAGGCAGAAGAAAGGAGAAGGCTGAAGACCGCAATCCCTAACTTCACAGAAATCAGCCTTCACAATGCGCTTCCCATGGCCATTCTCCAGTCCGTTTTTACTTGCTCCCTCTGCTGCACTTCACTGTGGTGAAAGGTCTGATATCCCTCTATTCTGATTTGCTTCATTCTTCTTTTTTGCTTCTCAGTGATGAACATGTGCTTGTCATTCACAGTGTATTCCTCAAAAATATACAATATACAAAATTCAAAAATACACAATACAAAAGCTCTTGGTTAACAGCCTTCTTTATCTGCAAGCTCTCCAAGTGAATGCATTCATTTTCATTTGTGATCTGGTCATTTCTAAATGTAAATGTAAAGCTCAAATACCTCCACTGAACTGAATGGCTTGCTAGATATAGTCACACACTGTCTCATGGTGAAAACTCACTGCTTCACCACTGAGGCTGCTCCTGTTCTGCATGTTCTCAAATCACCCACTCAGGCAGTCATACAAATCAAAATTCTCCATAAGCAAGTTGGCCACCCAATCTCCTCACCACTCCTTGCCCCATGTTTTATATTAAAAATATAAATTTTTAACTGCTTCCTCTGCACAAGCGGTACTTCCTACCTTTCTACTCCTAACTACTCATATTTCTTTCCAAACGTAGCGGCTCAAACACATCTTCTGATGTTGTTCCTTGGTGCCATCTTGTCTCATGTCACCTGCAGTGGGAACCACCCACTTGTGTGTGTGGAACTGTGACTTGCCCTTATGATTGCCTCCTGTGAGCTCTACAAAGGCCTGACACTTTGCAGACATGACATATGTTTGCTGAATGTTTTATGAAAAAGAAATAAGGTTGGCAAAATCATCAACTTTTTTATTACCCCATTCCACTAATTTTACTTTAGTGAAAAAAATTGAAGGAACAAGAGCAATCACAGCAATCATCAATCAGAGCAATCACAGCAAGTCATCTCTTATTAATAATTCCAACACAGATTTCTACCACTTAACAATAAGAGCTGTCTTCGTATACATCACCTCCTATGACTCTCACAGCAATCTTCACCTAAAATAAAGACCTCTAGGTAACCTGGCCTAGAGTCATGAGATAGGGAGTCAATCCTTTTTAAAACTGCAAGAAAAAGAATGTCTAAGCAACATTTCATCATTTCCCCGCACTAGTTTTCTTTCTGTGCCACTACTTCTCTTCCCCTTCACTTTCTTAAATCTACTTCTTTTCTCTCTCTCTCTCCCTCTCTCTCTCTCTCTCCCTTTCTGCTTATCGACAAGGTCTAAGTTGGAGTGTTGAGATTACAGGTATGTGCTACCATGCCCAGCTAAGTTCACTCCTTTTGACCTGTTTTGCTTCAGCTGCCATATATATATATGTATATACACACATACATACATACATACATACACACAGTGGACCCTCGAGTTATGACTGGCCTGACATACAAACAACTAGGGTTATGACCAGAATTTTAGTTTTAACTTACAGTCTTGAGTTACAACCCAAATGCTGGCCACGTGTGCTTCCAGATGGTCTCATCTACAGATTTAATCTTTAAAGAGTTCTGGAAGGAACATGACAACATCCTTTCCTGTGTGGAGTTAGTTGAGAAATCCTGGGCCAGTGTCTCTCTGAGGACACCGAGATCTGCCTGTGTACAGGAGAGAGACTTTGAAGGCTGTGTAGAGGACCCTGAGCCTTCAATTGACCAATCTGAATTACAACTGGCCCTCAAGAATGAATTTAGTTTCATAAGTCGAGGGTCCAGTGTATGTGACATCCTTATATTCTGCATTTTAATTCTTAGGGTATAGGTGACTAAACAAAAAACAATTTCTATAAGGAATTTTCATCCTAAGAAACAATAGCATTTTAGCCCACCACAAATCCAACATGCTCTTTAATGAAAAATATCAAAACCTTTACTCAAAGAGCATTCTAAACCAGGCATGGTAGCGCATGCCTGTAATCCCAGCACTCAAGAGGCTAAGGCAGAAGGATTGGTACAAGTTCAAGGCCGGTGAGACCCTGTCAAAAAAACAAACAACAACAAAAAACAAAAACAAAAGAGCTTTCTCACAGTATGATATCACAATCATGCAGAAAAGGGTTATAACTCTAGCTTATTTCTAAAGAAAACAGAAATAAGTCTGCTCATACAGACTTGGAAAGTTTTCTGGCTGCTCTCATGTTAAACTATTAAACATTACACAAAGCTAACCCTAAAAAATTCACCCTTACCCTCAACTGCATGCTGTCTATTTCTAGTAGAGCTCATTAACTTTCCAAGATGCCTGGATTTGGACCTTCTGCCCTGTCCCACATGAAGGCCTGAGGAAAATAGGCTGCTGTGTGGAGGTGGAAACGAGGGCTCTGGGCCTCTGCTGCTGCACTGACCTTGGGTGATCACTTGGCTCCAAACACAGCCCTCGGGTTACAGCAGAGATAGTGGCATAGCCCCATCCACCTCCTAAAGTCATCTGGCTAAAGTCAGGCGATAGAGGCGGAAGGGTTTACAAACGACTAAGTTATGCAAGTCTAGAATGCTATTTGACAAGAGTGAAACCCACCTTCTTAATGAAAAAGTAAGTCCATCTTTGTCAATTCCTTAAGAGCTCAGGCAATGGTCTTTACCAGGCCATCAGGATAAAAAATATTCTCCCTACCTTTGCAACCCAGAACCCTCTGTACTCTCATAACCTTGGGAATAAGCTACTTGTCAGAAGAGACTACGACAAGGATAACTTACGGAAGAATTTCCAAAACTGTGTCATAACAGAAAACTATTCCATCGCCCCAAACATCAGAAATTTGTGAGCTGTTGATCATGTCTGGCTTTCTTGGTCAGAACTGCAGTGCAAGAAAATCTATCTGCACAAATACTAGAGGATATTTTTATTTATATAGTTTGATGTCTATCTTATGAGATAAATACAACATCTCCTAAATACCACAAAGCAAATAAAATTACCCAGAAAATACAAGTAATAATTTTTAGCAGTAGTACAACATATACGCACACATGAACACACACACAAAGAGCTCAGGTAAAGGTCTAACAGAAAACTTATCTAATTTGAGAAAGGAAATTTTCTAATTTAGTGATATTTTTCTTGAAAAAAAGTACAAACTGTCTCTGTGAAATAGTACATAAGTCACTAAACTGCAACTTACTTTTGCTATTGATCTAAAAAACATTCCTTAGACATAATGACAGTGTTAAATGCTTAACTTACTCAATAATGCACAAGAGTTTCCAAAGCTGAAACCAGTACATTTTATTAATTTTGATTACACACTCGGAGAATATAAGAAATAATCAAAGAACAGGGAAATTGTAGAGTTCAATATGGTTCCAACTCCTGGTTCTGTCAGGAATTACTAGATAGATGACCCAGGGTAAAATTAACTTCCATGAGCCTTAGTTACACACATATATAAAAGGATCACAATACAGTACCATCTGTCTCTGATCATTCTTGGAACACTAGCTTCTCTGAGATAATCAAACCTGACAGAAATTCAGAATGGCCATGTTTATCAGAGGTCCCAAGACCAGCCCAGGATTAGTGATTCGCTGGGAAGACTCAGCACATACATAGTAGCATTCAGTTCATGACTTATTATAGTGAAAGGATACAAAGCAAAGTCAGCAAAGAGAAAAGGTGCGCCGGCCAAAGTCCAGTGTAAACCAAGGCCAAGCAAAGGCAGCTGCTAGAGGCAGAGAAGTCATCAGAGCTTTCGGCAGTTTCGAAGGGCTGCAGGCAAAAATTGGAGTTCAGAGCTGCCAAGTGTCCTGAAAGAAGGGAGTTGCAGAGATATGACCCCCACATTCAACAGTTTTTCCCAGAGGCATGTGACAAATTCTTAAATTGCATAGTACAAGAAGCCAAAAAGTATCATAAACCAGACAGCAGCAAAACAAACAAAACAAAATAAATAAGCCACAAAAATGTTTTGCCAGTCTTGTAGTCCTGAGAAGAGGAGTCGTAGGCCATTCATTAACTGTGACCTCGGGAGGCCTGCAGCTTAGAAAGCAGGAGAAGGGAACCAAAGGTGAACGAAGTTTCACACATTTTGCAACCTTACCTCGAGCTCAGATAATTGGCTCAATGCAGCAGGGCAAGCAGCCCTACTCTGTAAGTGCCTACCTGAGGACAGCTGAGTCCCCTTGGAAGTAAGCTTTACACAGCACCTGGCATCTGAGCAGAGGTCACTGACCTCTGAAAGAAACAGATCCAGGAGGAAAATCCAACAGAAATAGATCCACAGGTGATCCAGAATAGGAGCTATCAGACATGAACTT